CTTGAGCCACAGGCGCCGAGCCAAAAATCAGGACTTTTTAAAAACGCCAAGGGACACAGGACAAATTGTTTAAAAGCAGGACTGTCCCGCCAAAAGTGGGACGTCTGGTCACCCTATGCTTAAGCCAACCCCAAATAACTGTTTTAATTTAATTTGCATCTTTACAGTTTTTTTTTTTTTTTTGAGAAAGAGCCTTAAGCTATCACCCTGGGTAGGGTGCTGTGGCATCACAGCTCCAACTCTTGGGCTTGATCGATTCTCTTGCCTTAGCCTCCTGAGTAGCTGGGACTACAGGTGCCTGCCACAATGCCCAGGTATGTGGTGGTTGTAGTTGTCATTGTTTGGCAGGCCTGGGCTGGGTTCGAACCCACCAGCTCTTGTGTATGTGGCTGGTACCTTAATTGCTTGAGCTACTGGCGCCGAGCCCAGTTTTGTTTTTTGTTTTGAGACAGAGTCTCACTCTGTGCCCTGGTAGATAGAGTACTGTGGTGTCATAGCTCTCAGCAACCTCAAACTCTTGGGCTCAAGTGATCCCCTTGCCCCAGCCTCCCAAATTATCCTTATTGTTCCTTATATAAGAACAAGCAATTGTGAATGCGTATTTTTTGTAGCCATGTTTGGTCTTGTAATGAGTAGTCGCACTCTACTTCCCCCTGACCCCCTAACCTGGGCAATCATATGACAAAGCCTGGGGGTGAAGTATGCCGATTCATACCTCACAATCCCCAACACTATTGTCCTGGCCCCATGCACTAACACCAATAAACACCCAGGCCTGTCTCCTTCTCTTGCTCCCTTAACCTACTTCACTACCTGACCTTGAGAGGTCAGATCTATTCTCCCTCAGTTCTCAGCTGTGTAAGTCTGAGTCTTGGCGTGCCTTTTTCAACAATTTCTTAGCTGATGTTTTCCATCACTTTTGTACTATTACTGCCTTAGTTTTATTTTATCTTATCTTATTTTGTTTTATTATTATTTTTACAGAGTCTCAGTCAGTTGCCCTGCAATTGAGTGTAGTGATGTCATAGCTCACAGCAACCTCAGACTCTTGGGTTCAAGTGATCCTCTTGCCTCAGCCTCCCAAATGCCCCTCAGCTAATTTTTCTATTTTTAGTAAAGACAAGATTTTGTGCGGTACCTGTGGCTTAGTGAGTAGGGTGCTGGTACTACCCCCAAGGGTGGTGGGTTCAAACCCAGTCCTGGCCAAACTGCAACAAAAAATATCAGGGTGTTGTGGGCACCTGTAGTCCCACCTACTTGGGAGGCTGAAGCAAGAGAATCACCTAAGCCCAAGAGCTGGAGGTTGCTACAGCACTCTATAGAGGGCGATAAACTGAAATTCTGTTCTTTGTAAAAAAAAAAAAAAAAAAAAGACAGAATCTTGCTTTGCTCAGGCTTAAAGGTTCCCAACCTTCCTGGAACTCATGACTTTAGGCCAGGTGTCCTCAAACTACGGCCCGAGAGCCACATGCGGCCCGCCAGCCACATGCGGCCCGCCCAGGACATTTATCCTGCCTGCTGGGTGTTTTTGCTGCTGCCTCCTGTCCTGCTTAGCAGCTGACTCGTCCCGGGCCCTGCAGTCCGGCCCTCCAACGGTCTGAGGGACAGTGAACTGGCCCCCTGTTTAAAAAGTTTGAGGACCCCTGCAGGCAATCCACCTTCCTCAGCCTCCCAGAGTGCTATGATTATAGGTGTGAGCCACTGCGCCTGGCCTTTTCCATCACTTTTGAATGGACGTAACTAACCCTTGTCATCCTGAGGGAACATCAGCAGTTCTGCTGTCCTACACAATCCCTGCAGGCAAGATCTTAATTTCAATTGTTGTCTTTGTTCAGAGTGACACTTTAGTAAAATTTCTAGAAATTATTTGGTAACCAGAGGGCTCCTTCCTGCCAGACACCATGAAAAAATAGCTGTTGTTCCTTTCAGCACCCACAGTATCATTTAGGCTTTTTTTGGTGTTCTGGAGGCAACATAATCAATCTTCCTTTGCAAATTCTACTTAAGCACATTTATGCTGTGACTTGCAAATTTGCCTTCCCTGAATGAGCAACCCTATCACAAAGGCAGTAAACCAGTGGTTCTCAACCTTCCTGATGCAATAACCCTTTTTAATGCAGTTCCTCATATTGTGGTGACCCCCAACCATAAAATTATTTTCGTTGCTACTTCATAACTAATTTTGCTACTCTATGAATTGTAATGTAAATATCTGATATGCAGGATGTATTTTCATTATTACAAAGGGGTTGCGACTGTTCAAATGGCCATATAACAGGTACTCCTGTTAGTGTCCTCAGATCCTCAGAGACTGATTCCTATAGGGGCGTTAGCAGCCTCCTGTCATGCCTGGAGTTACCCATGTTGGCCATAAATTGCCGTAGGCTTGTGATTGCAAGAAATAGCCCTCAGCTCCACACTATATGCCATTAGAGCTGCACTTAACACCGTGTACTGGGTTCTCCTAAAAATAGAGGCTCTCCCAGGCTGAGAGCATGTGATTCTGCTCAACTGCCCAGCCTTCCTTGAGTTTTAGAAACAGCACTCTATAAGACATTTCTTTTCAACACTATGGAGCCAAATATTGACCTTCAGCATATCATCCCTGCAATAGAGTGTGACATCCTTTCTCTCAATCCCTTGTTAAACACCATGGTGCTGGAGATCACTCCCTTTCCTAGACTCCTTGCTGCTGCAGTAGTGGGAAGTTTGTAGACTTCATGGACAGCATTGTAACATTTGTAGATAAGAGTGCTCTCTTTGGAGAGCTGCTGCTTTTTACCCCTTAGTTGAGATCAACTTGATAGCGGACAGGTCTAAGAGTCAGCTCAACTGACCAAACATCAGGCAGTCATAGGACTGGCCAATAATTATCCCCATCTGCACATATTCTTGGGTGATTGTCTAAGAGTTTCCCATTTGTGGTAAAAGAACTCTTGGAATCTCTTTTGCATCACAGGTAGTCAAAATATAAGTCAAGGTAATACCTGTGTCTACATAGAGTTGAGCCCACAATCACAATTTAAGACTTTACTAAGACACTTCTCATCCATGTTGGAGTTTCAGACCATACGGATATTAACCAAGGCCTTCATTTCACTATTCAAAATAGACAATAATGGGCTTTTTTTTTTTTTTTT